CCCGTGTCCCCTGCATCGGCAGGCAGACTCTCAACCACTGCGCCACTAGGGAAGCCTCTTGTGGTTATTTTTATGTAATTTCTTTTTCTTTTTTCTTTTTTTGGCCATGCCACGGGGCTTACGGGATCTTAACTCCCCAACCAGAGATTGAACCCCAGGCCCTCGACAGTGAAAGAGCAGAGTCCTAACCACTAGACTGCCAGGGAATTCCCTATTTTTGTGTAATTTTTAATCCTAGCTTCTAAGGCGTATAAGGTTAAACTTCTCTGAACTTCATGCGATTGTTTTTGTTCAATAGAGTAAAAAAAAGTAAGCAATTTCATTTAGTTTATTAAAATCCAAAAATACAGTTTTGAATTGTAAGAATCAATCTGTAGGATTCATAAACAAAACCTAAAGGTTTTACAGTTCAACCTTAAGCTAACAGTGCTCTTTAATATGGGTTTATGAAGCAATTTTAGACCTGCATCCCACAACCTGGACTCTGTAAAAATACAAATGTAAACACAACAGGGCCAGGACCTGTTGGTAAGGAAATTTCTACCTGTTTTGCAGCTTGTATTATATAGGCTTATGCTTTTCTGTTAAAAAGTGAACGGTAAAAACTATTATAAAATATTACTGGGGCTTCCCTGGTGGCACAGTGGTTGAGAGTCTGCCTGCCGATGCAGGGGACATGGATTCTTGCCCCGGTCCGGGAAGATCCCACATGCCGAGGAGCGGCTAGGCCCGTGAGCCATGTCCGCTGAGCCTGCGCGTCTGGAGCCTGTGCTCCGCAATGGGAGAGGCCACAGCAGTGAGAGGCCCGCGTACTGCATATATATATATATATATATATATATATATATATTACTGAAAAAATTTAAACCCAAATCTAATCAAGCCTCTAGCTCTAACTACCAATTTATAGGAAATATGGAGGGAAAAGGAACAAAGGAAATGACAGGATGAGGAAACAATTGGCCAAATATAGAATGTGGGAACTTCTACAGAACAAATGACAAATCAATAGCATTTAAAGGGGTGGGGCAATTACAAATAAAAGAGACTTAAGAGACAAAACTGGGACCTCCCTGCTGGCGCAGTGGTTAAGAATCCGCCTGTCAATTCAGGGGACAAGGGTTCGATCCCTGGTCCAGGAAGATCCCACATGCCGCAGAGCAACTAAGCCCACGTGCCACAACTACTGAACCTGCACTCTAGAGACCGCGAGCCACACTACTGAAGCCCGCGTGCCTAGAGCCCATGCTCCACAAGAGAAGCCACCGCAACGAGAAGCCCGCACACCGCAATGAAGAGTAGCCCCCACTCACTGCAACTAGAGAAAGCCCGCATGCAGCAACGAAGACCCAAGGCGACCAAAAATAAATAAATTTTTTAAAAAAGAGAGACAAAACTGTTATAGACTGAATGTCTGTGGTTCTCCCTCCCCCAACCCCCCCAATTCAAATGTTGAAGCCTTAACCCACAATATGACTGTATTTGGAGATAGGGACTAGGAGGAGGTGATAAAGTTAATGAGGTCATAAAGGTAGGCCCTAACCTGATAGAGCTGGTGCCCTTATAAGAAGAGGAAGAAACACCGCAGCTCTCTCTCTCCCCTCCACGTGGGGACACAGCCAGAAGGCAGCATCTGTAACCACAAGGGGAGAGTTCTCACCAGACAACAGCCCTGCTAGCACCTTGATCTTGGACTTGATCTTGGACTAAATTCCTGTTGTTTAAGCCCCCTGGTTTATGATATTTTGTTTTGGCAGCCCAAGCAGCTGCAACAACCAAATAGAATATATAGGCCTCTTTTTTATCCTGACTGAAGCAAACAGACTGTGAAATAACATCATTGAGACAATCGGGAGAAATTTAATATGAGCCAGGAGTTAAATGATACTAAGGAATTATTGTTTGTTTTGTTAGGTATGATAATGCTATTGTGTGGGGGGGGGTTGTTAAAGTCCTTATATGATAGAGATGCTTACTGAAGTACTTACGAGTAAAATAATACGATGGGATATACTTAAAAATACTTCCAAAAAAGAATAGAAGTTTGGGGGAGGATAGGTAAAACAATTTGGTAAAATGTAATAACTATACAAGTAGATAATGGGTATATGGGGGGTTCATTTTACTGTTCTCTACTTTAGTGTGTCATTGAAACTTTCTATAACAATTTTAAAAGAATGATGAGAATTAAATACTATACACACAAGTATATTACAAAAGTATATTTCTCAAGAAACATTTTAGAGTATTTGACAATTAATTTGGTAAGAAATAAAGTATAAATGCATACTAGCAAAATTACTGATGATCTGTGACCCTGGAAAGAGTTCATTTTTAACTTTACATTGAAACAACAACTTTCACATTCTTAAATCCCTAATCAAGTAGGAATGCTTGAAAAGGAGGGCTGAACACAGCAGCTAGTTTTCACCCCTGGTGGTGGGTGAGATGCAATAATTTTCTCTCCTGGGCACACGCCCATGGCTCCCTATCTGCACTTCTTTTACGGTCCAAGTCACTTTCTACTCTACAATTACCCAAGACAAATCTGATGGGAACCTTCCTGAGAGTAGACTCTACATCCGGTCACCTTTGTGACCCTTAAAAGTACCCAAGGCCACCCAGAGGTTCTGATTTAATTCATCTGGAGTAAAACTCGGATTTCAGTATAACCTCCAAAAGGATTCTTATTTGCAGCCTGGACTGAGAACTACTGGGCCCTAATTTATTCTTGGTGATAATAAATATTTAATCAGTGAATAAATTAACAAAGTGTCTCGCTTGATTTTTACAACAATGGGAAGGCAGATGGGAAATAACCATCCACATTTTACAGTTGGAAAAGCATATTCAGAGAGAAAAGGACATTCTCACCCCACCTTGTGAAGCCAACAGCCTGGGAAATATTCCTACCCACTAGAGAGAGCTACTGTCCCCACAAGGAGCAGTTTGCCTCTGCCCCTGCCCACGGCGAGGTCTGGGGACTAAGAATGGAGGTTTAGGCAGATGTGAGGGTTTCAGGGTGGGTGCTGAGCCCCGTGGGTGATTCTCTCTCAGTGATGAGGGTGGCAGGGAGAAGGTACTGGGGAAGGGAGGGTGTAGGGTTCGGCTGGGGTTGACCAGCCGGTCAGGCTGTATTGTTTCCATAAAATCGCACAAGACTGAAGGAAGCCGAGGACTCTGTTAATATCCTACCCACCCTCCCGAGAAGACCTCCGAGAAATCCCAAATCCCGGTCATATCTTCCCCATTCTTGCTTTATCGGTCCACTCCCTCCCTGCGCCCCAGCCCAGCAAGGTGCCCGACCCCTGGGCCTCAAACTGCGTCACACAATGCAGTAAGTGGCCCTTGCAGCGGGAACCATTAGATCTGCCGCTTCCCTTCCACGCACTCAAGCCCACCATTCGGTGACCACAGAGTCAGGGCATCATCACGCGCCATAGGGAAGGGGCTGTCAAGGGAGGTCGACGCGCTAGAGCTCAAGAGCCTGCGCTTTGCTGGTTGCCGCAGTGCCGGATGTGGGCGCGGGTGGGGCGCGAAGGCTGTTTTTTTAAACTGGGTGAACCGCAAATGTGGGGGAGCCTAGCAAGATCTAGGAGGAAAGGTGCAAAAATTCCTGTTTCTGAGACCCTCCCAACTCCGTCGCCTAGCGAGTTTCTTAAGGTCGGGTGTCAGGAACCCCCGCCTGGCTCCAAAGCCCCGCCCCAAACCGCACTTTTGTTTAAACTAGGCTGGGACTAGAAGAAGCGGTAGAGACATCTTAACTTCAGCTGAACTGCCTCGATTTATAAATAAAGAAACTGAGACCCGACTAGGGAAATGACTCGCTCAAGTCCACATAGCGAGTTAACGGCTGATCTGGACCCTTAGAATCTACCCGTTTATCTCTACTTCCCCTCGGTAGCTACCTGTTGCCACGGTGATGAGGGCAGGCTCCGGCTGAGGCTCGGACTGTGGTCGAAGGAGGCTGGAGAGGCTGAGGACCGGGCTGGACATGCTGACCATGAGCCACCTCCCATCCAGGGCCCGCGGGCAGCTCTGCTCCGGGGTCAAGCCGCTGACCCAGATCGCCGAGGCAGGAAGCGGGACGTAGTGGCTCATTTCGCAGCGTGGCGCGGGGGCGTCCCGCGGGTATCGCCTGAAGGCGGCTAGGAGGGTGCCCGCGGGGTCTGTGAGCACAGAGAGAAAAGTTGCTGCCGTAGAATCTCCGCCAGGAAAGGGGAGGGGAGGGCAGCGTCCAGGGAATTTTAAAGGTACAGACTACCCGGTAGCGAGAGATTTAAAAGTGATCCATTTTCATTTTACAGAGGGGGAAACTGAGGCCCGAGGTCACTGTGAGACCTAAAGAGCAGGGGGTTTCGGTGGAGGCGACAGAGTTGGGAGCGAGTCCAGCATGACTCACCATGCACTTTGAGGTAGCGCTCTGGGTCGAGGTCCGGCCGGGGAGGTGGGCTCTCCGAGCTCTGGCGCAGCAGCAGTGCAGAGGGTTTCTTGGACAACCGGCCCCCGCCCGCATCCTCCACGAACCAGCACTCTATCACTGCGGGTCCCGCCGAGACGACGGTCGCCGTGCCTGAGGGGTATGGGCGCGAGGGAGGGGACGGCCCCAACGTCAGGTGACCCTACCTCCTCCACCCCACCCCCAGACGTGGTGGCAGTCATCTCCCACCGCTTCCCTAGGCTAAGAGTCGCGGGGTTCGCTCACCCAGAGCCACAGCGAGGAGCAGGGACACAGGCTTCATGGCGCCGCGATCTTCTCAGCTCCGAAGCCGCCTTTCCCCCTTTCACTTTCACTTTCCTCCAAAGGCCGGCAGGAGGGGCGGAGGAAATCTCCGCTCCGGTTAGGGGAAGGCTCGGGGGAGGCAGGTGCTTCCTCCGCCGGCTGGGCAGGGATCCCGGAACATCCTCTCCAGTTCTGATCTGGGGAACTCAGCCCCGCCCAGCCCTCCTGAACCACCCAGCACCACAGAGTCCGGGAGCCTTCCCACACCAGAGGCACCCCCTCCTGTCCACCCCAACCCCGAATCCACTTCCCTGAGAACCCTTACTCCACCTTCCCCGACCTGGGCCAGGTCCCCAGCAAACACATAGGGGTTTTCGGGAAGGCAATTGAAATGACCAATAAATATTTTAATCACCGTTTTAAAAAAATAAGATTTAAAATAAAACCCTTGTACTCCTACGACTTACTCCTTGTCTCCACTCCCCCACTCCCCAGTGAGAATGGAGTTGGGGGACCCCCAAGGTGGAGGAAGAGGGATTAGGGTAGAAATAAGGGGCACATCCTTTTGGGGGGCAGGGTATGTTCTAGGACAAGGGTGGGGCTCAAAGGCCTGGTCCCCACAACTACGCAAACACAGACTTCAGGTACAGACTACAACCACCTGACCCTCGACCCAGCGACTCCAGGATGCTCAACAAGTCCCCTCTCCCTCCCCCCCACCCCACCACTTGCACCCTACTCGGGAGCTGGGGCTTCAGTGTACCCATCTGAAGGGAAGGAAGGGCTGAGTTCCGGTGATACTTTAGGGAGGAGGGGCTGAGGAGTAGAAAGGGGTGGCCCATGGTGCGAGGCGGTTCCCTCTCCAGAATATATACAAGTCCATAGAGATAGGAAGACAGTAAGTGTGTTGGGAGATCACCTACGGGCCACAGCGCCCCTGGCTAGTGATCCCTAATCCCTCTTCCCGGAAAGCTACCCCCAGTAGCTCGCCTCTTCAGTTTGCTCCTCCGCCCCCACTGAAGCCCATCTCCACCTTGTGGACGCTGGGCGGGGACCAGACCCGTCGAGTGGACGGGGGCGTGGCCCCACTCGCCTCGTCGCCGCTGCCCCGGCCGCCGGGGGACTCTCTCTTGGGCTGCAAGGCTGGCCCGGTGGTCCCCCCGGGTCCGGGTCCGGCCCCGCCCCCGCCGCCTAGGCGGTGCCGGCGCTCACAATGTCCCCGATGGCGCATGAAACTGTCTCGCCACATGAACTTCTTGGCGCAGACGCCGCACTCGTAGGGCTTGAGGCCTGTGTGTGTCTTCATGTGCTCTGTCAGGTGATGCTTCATCTTGAACTTTTTGTTGCACACGGGGCAATCAAAGGGCCGCAGGTTGAGGTGCATGTTCACATGGCGATCTCGCATGCTCTTGTGGGAGAAGGCCTTTCCGCAGTGGCACAGAAAGATCTTATTTCCATCCCCACTGCCTGTCCCTCCAGGAGTCCCGCCGGTGCCACCCGGCATGCCCAGGGCCCCTGCCGATGTGCTCCCCAGGGTCACTGCCCCATGTTCAGCTTGGTTCCCTGGTGGCTGGCCTGGAGCCTGTGAGGAGGAGGAGGAGGATGAAGAGGATGGGAAGACTAGGATCTGGTTGCCTTGCATGTCCAGTGGAAGCAGGGGCCTCGAAGGATGGGAGGGAGCATAGGAGGAAGGGGTTGGTCCCCCTGAATCATCAAGCCCTGCCCCAGGACCCCCACCTTCATAGGGGCCAAAGTCATTGGAGGACTCACAGAAATTGACCTGCTCCTCTCCCTTGTCTGGAGGCTCAGACAGGGTCCGGACGTCACTTATGCTAAGGGTAGCCTCAGATCCTCCCCCTGCTGGCACCCCGGAGCCACCCCCCAGCTCTTCATCTTCATCATCCTCACAGGTCAACACCAAGTCTTCCTCCTCATCATCCTCTTCCAGGTCTGGGTCTTGGGGAACGAGGGGCGCTGGTGCTGGGCAGTTTCCACCCCGTTTCACATATACCCAGTGTTTCTGCGGCACAATGCTGGGGGGTGCGTAGGTGGGCCGGCGGAGCCCAGCCCCAGGGACCACTGCACCCCTCCCATCCCCACCGTCATCACACAGCTCATCTGCCTCCAGCAGCAGCTTCCCAGAGGTAGCCCCCCCACTGCCAACCACAGGGGCGGGGAATACAGGGCCACCTCCTTGACGCTCCCTACTGCCCACTGCAGAAGCTGCAAAAGCCTCCTGGGAGGAAGATGAGAAATCAGTGGACTCCCGAGGGCTGAAATAGTTGCTGCTGCTGGGGGACTGATTCTCACTGGCCCGGCTGGAGGCATGGAAGCGTACGGATCCCACAGTGGCAGGGGCCACGGTGCCCCCACTCCCTGAGGTGACCCCAGCACCAGGGACAGTGACCGATGTGGCTGCAGCAGTGGTGATGGTGGTGGTGGTGGCTGAGGCCCGGCCCTCTCGGAGGAGTTCAGTGCACTTATCCACGATGTGCCACATTTGGAGCACAGACCCCACTGTGAGGAAGTTGACAATGTCAGCAGCGGCCATGCTGAGGCGACCAGTATAAGCTGAAGCCAAGACAGTCTCGAAGGCGCCTGGGTCCATGACGCTGGGCAGCGAGATGGAGGTCATGCCCTTGAGTAGGACCTGGTCGTGGAAGTAAGGGGAAGAGGCAGCCAGGACAGCACGATGAGCCCTGAACTCCCGTCCCTGCACTCGGATGGACACATCACAGAGCTGGCCCTGCAGCCGCTGCTGATTGAGAGACTCCAAGAGGGCACTGGTCACCTCGGGGAAGGACACGTGCACTACTGCCGCTGCAGGCAGGGGCAGTGGTGGTGGGGCCAGCGATAGAGGCAGGGGGAGTGCTGCCCCGCTGGGAGACAGGGAAGATGGCTCCATGGTGTGGAGGGAAGGGGTACCCCCCCAGCCACAGGAACAAGGGAAGGAGGAGGGCGGCCGGGGGGGGTCTCTGGAAAGAAAGAGAGAAGAATGATAACAACCCATAATGACACAGCCCTTTACAGTTTAAAAACATGTTCACACATTATCTGAGTAACTCCCCACAGTGACACTATAAGGTAGGTATTCCTTTCAATTCCATTTGACAGATGAGGAAACTGAGGCTCAGAAAGATTAAGAGATTATCCAAGGTTACACCATTAAGTGGCAGCACCCACAAACGCAGGTGTCCTAACTCCAAATCCAGTGATCTTTCCTTGGACGTTGCAGAAATAAGGTGCTCTTGGGGAGTGGGGTGCCTCCCCTCAGAAATTCCCATTTGCCTGAGAGCCCGACTTTCCAAAATTTACCTTTCTGGGGTTTTGTACCCTTTTCTTGGGAGGGGGGCAGGTTGGCTCTGGTGTTGAAAACCACCCCTCTCTCCACTTCCCTTTAGGGCGTGCCCCCCCACCCCACGGCTCTCTCGCAGGCCACGCACCTTGCCCCCAGTTATCCCTAACCCCGCCCATTTAGGCCCCGCCCACCTCAAGACCCGCCCATGGCTTTGGGCTCCGCCCCTTATCTACCCCCGCCCACATCGGACCCCGCCCCCTTCTGCTCCGCCCCAAGCGCTACTTCGACCTCCTCTCCCACCCGGAAGGCGCCCCCCAACCCCGCGCGTCCCCGCTTACCGGGCCGCGCGCCCCCGGGCCCCCCCGCCCCTCACTCGGCGGCCAGAGCTGCAGCCTGGGCCCCTCCCGCCGCCATCTTGCGCCGACTCCCTCCGCCCTCCGCCTCCGCTCCGCCTCCCGCCCCTCAGGCTTTAAAGGCACAGGCGGGAACCCCGCCCGACCCGCTGGGCAATACTCGGCCGACTCGGCCACTTCTCCTTTAAAGAACAGCTTCTTCCTTCCACCTTAAGGGTACCAGGTCTCTTTCCGCCGCTGAGGACGCAGGACTCGGTTCGGCCGAAGCTCTCATTCCCCTTTAATTCGGTAAGCCTGCCTCTTCCCACTGGCGATGGGTCTAGGCCGTCGCTGACTGGGCTCCGCCCCTGAGCTGTGGCCATTAGCGGGTTTGCGGGATCTAATCGCCCCGGTCTCCCAGCTTCTGACAGTCCCCCTGAAACCCCGCCCCCTACCTCCGGGCCTGGATTGGCTAAATAACCTTGAGTCGGCCCGTGATTGGCCTTTTTACTGCTACCGCTCGAAGTGAGAAAGTAAAGCGCGTTCAGGAGGCTGAAGTACATTTTTTCAGCGCCAGGCAGAGGGCAAGGAGAAGGGCTGAGGGCGAGAAAAACTCCGCGAGAGGCGTGCTGAAGGCAGCTGGAAAGGACAGATCCAGGGCTATCCCGGGGGAACGGCTAACCCTGAGCCAGAGAACAGCTCGTGCCAATCACCAGCTGGTGAGAGCAGGACAAGGAAAAGACAGGGATACAATAAGAAAAGAACTTTATTGTTTATTAATGTTTCTGTGTAAAACTTAAGCTTTTTTTTTTTTTTAAGAAACCACCAAAAGGCGATTAGCTCAGTCCATCCCTTCCTCAGTCATCTGCTTCCCACCGTCCTCCAAATACTATCCCAAAACATTTTGGAGGCAGGGAGGAGGGGGAGGCAGTTAATCAGAGTCTGAGAGCACGATGATCTCCTCTGGATCGCACTGTGTGGCCACACTCATCTGCGGGGGAGTGAGAGACAGAGAATCAGAGGTCTGGAACACAGCGGACGAGAAGCCAAGGGAAGGACTTATCAGAGAGAGGAGGTGATGAGTGCAGCAGACAGAATACCCCAAACTGAACAATGAAAGAGAATGAAGTCAGGAAACACAGCCTCCCCCTCTTACCTTAAAAGTACCAGGTCTGGAGGGTTGTGTTTGTGGGGTGTGGGACAACCGGGCTGGAAATGGGCTACAGAGGGAGCTGGTCACCAGGCCGTGGCTAGGAGAATCCACCCTCGTGGAGGAATCGGCAACTGGAGCCATGGAAGCCAAGGGGGAAGGCGGGCTGGGCAGAGTATGTGTCTTCTCATGCACTGCCCTTTGCCTTTCCACATAGCTAGAGACAGAAACATATGTGGGTGGAAGGGTATATGGAGACTGAGGATGGAGGGGGAGCTCCAGTTTCTCCCCGCAGACTCCGTTCCACAGTATGGCTCTCAGAAAGCCCCCGCAGTCCCTCCTTGGCTTCCCTCTTTCTCCTCCTTATTGCTGTTACCTCTTTCCTAATGGCCCGGCTTCTGTTTGCTTCTCCTTCCGAGATTTCTTGTGGGGAGGACTGGAATCTCCCCAGGTGTGAGGAGAGACGCCTCCGTTGAAGGAAGTGGAGGTGACCATGGCTGCTCCATTCTCCAAGACAGTGGTGAGGGGGTCTTCTGATTGCTTCCTGGAAGAGGAAACGTCCCTCTCCTCAGGGGAAGGAGTAGTATCCAGGGGCAAGGCTTCAATCTCTAGCTCAAAGAGCTGAGACATAGGGCTCTCTTCCTCCAGGGGCAACTCCTCGAGGTGCTCTCCACTGCTTTCAGCAACTACGCTGGAGGGGGCCGGGGGCTCTTCTGCCAGTGAAGATGGTGACACTGTGAGTCCTTTGTTTTGCTGCTCCCCCAACGACCCGCTGATCCCTTTGCGAGGTTCCAGGTTCTTTTCAGTGGAGATCTGTAGTGGGGACATGGGGCTCTTATCTCCATCCTTCCCTGGAAAAGAAGAAAAGAGGGGAGGGGTAGCAAAAGAACTAGGGGAAAGAAGACTGCTGAGAGGACACTAGGAGTAAGAGGAAGAAGGGAAGGATCTCAAACAGGGGGCTCATGCCCAACAGAGTAGAGGGAACCGACGAGAAGACTGTTTCCTTGACATACCTGCTTCCTCCTCCTCCTCCTCCTCCTCCTCCTCTTCATCGTCCCCCTGACCTTCCTGCATCTGTTCCAGATCCTCCTCTTCTTCGGAATCTGTGGCCTCCTCATCTTCCTCCTCCTCCTCTTCCTCTCCCTCCTCTTCCTCCTCCTCCTCCTCACTTTCCTCATCTTCATCATCAGTCTCAGCCTTGGAGGTGGTAGGGCACTCCTGGGATGCCATCCCACTAGGGCCCTGTAGGGGACAAAGGAGTTTCTCTAGGGAATCCCTTGCCCCAGAGGGGCTGCTTCTTGCATTCCTTCTGCACACGCCATGATCAGTCACCACGTACTCCCTCCTGGCCAGTGCAGTGGAAGGACAAGGTCTCTCTGAAGGGTGTATTCCCTTCCATACCTCACCAGAATCCAAGGAGGCTTTGGAGGGGTCTGCAGAGTGGGAAGAGGTGGCTTGGGGGAGCCGCGCTCTTCTCTTCTGTCTCTCGCCCTCCTCGCTCTTGTCTTGCATCATTGCATACTTGGAGATGACCTCATCCAGCCGGCTCATAGCCAAGCTCCGGTTCTCCCGCAGGCGCCGAGCCAGGGCAGGATCTGACAGTGCGGGATCAATGCCTATGTGGAAAGATATAAAGTCAGTGTACTCACCCAGAACCCTAGAAGAAGGGACTAGAGAGACACCCCCTCCACCACACACCTGACGAATGAGGGTTACCAAGGAGCATCTCACTAATGCCTACCTGGCCTATAGTCATCTGTGAGGTGACAGCCAAAGTTGTAGATGAGATCAAGGTGGCGACGCTCCTGTAACCTGATGCCCACATCTCGGAAGGCATCCTGAGCCATGAGCTGGAGCTGCTGTCGGGGGAGGCCAAGGCTGTGCCGAGCAGCTGCCTTCTCTACGGCCCGCAGTACGTCTCCATAGTCAGGGAAGGTATCAGGCCCTGGCTTGTTGATGAGCCGCTCAATGCGCCTGTTGACCTCTGGGTAGCGGGTACCACGGTAGGGGATGCGCTGCTCTATGACCCGGCCTGTCAGTGAAGAGCAGTCTTTCAGCTCACACAGCCGCCCAAAGAGGCGCATCAGCTTACGCTTCAACCTCGCCTCCTGCAGGTAAGTGGAGTCTGGGTCATCCAATTCTGAGAGATCCAACTCCTTTTCCTGCAGCCGCCGGATCTCTGCCACGTAGAGTGCCAGCAGCTGCTCCAAGCGCTGGATCTGCCGCCGGGAACCATGGGTCCTTGAGGCCTCAGAGGCAGTGGTCTCAGCACTTGTGGGGTCCAAGGAGGGGTCTGCGGGAGGGTTATTCCCAGAGGGCTCACTAGAGGTGGTGGCAGCAGGGGCCAGGTTCAGCTTCTTCTTGGCTGAGTGGGCCTTGAGAACAGTGCAGAGCTCATTAATGTAGACATAGAGCTTAGCTGGCCGGCTCTGGGCCCGAGAGAGGACCCGAGAGAGGATGTTGCAGAACTCCGCCGAGGCCAAAAACAGAGAGTGGGCCCGCTGCTGCCGGTTATAGAGGAACGGGACCACCTCAGGGTGGTCCGCCGTCTGCGTCTTACACAGTTCAAGGAACTGGAAGGTTCAGGAGAAAAAGGGAGGGGAAAAGAGACAAGGGATGGGATTGAGAGAAAGAAGGTGAGGTGGGGTTAGTGGGGAAGAAAGGACAGGAGAGCCAGTCAGCCATCCCCCTCCCTGGAGTACAAGAATCTTCTCCCCTAAAGCTCACCTCTTCAAACAGCTTCTCATTCTCCAACTTGTAGCATTTCTTGCCGCCCGAACTACAGCTTCCTCCAGCCCCATGGGGCTGGGAGGAGCCAGGGGCTTCTGCCCTGGGTGAGGCCGGACTGGGGGGTGGGTGGGAGGGCCCTGGCAGAGCAGCTGCTTCATCTTCGTCATCATCATCCAGCACGATGATGCTGTTAGCGGTGGCCATGGGGGATCAAATCCCCCGGAGGGAGGAAGTGTTGGGGATTTCGTAATTCCTGCTGGAAGGGGATGGGGCCTCAGACAGAGCCCCTCCAGCATAGCCCCATCCCTTCATCTCACACATTTTTCAGTCTTCTTGGGTTTCAAAACACCCAGCCATGCCCAACAGTGTCCTCACTGCCTATCTTCAGCAACCATTAGTACCATATGTTTTTTGGGCCCTTTACTATGGGAGCCCCAAACCATCTGAAAACCTTAAGTCCCACCCCCAGCTCCACCCCTCACGTCGATATCCGGTCTTTCAGTTGCATTTCCCCACTATTTCTCATAGTTGGCAAGTTGATTCTTCCTCTCAACCCCTGGACGACCTCTCACATTGCACTCCAGATTTCCTTGACATCCCCTCGAACAGATACCACACCCCCGCTGGCACCACCTCAGGTGTTTTCCCCTTTCGTTCTCACACACATCAAATCCACATCCTCACTCCATCCTGAAGGTTCACCCCAACTCCGAGACTCTCTGAGGCGAAGAAGGTTCCCTCCCAACAATCCATCCCCCTTTCTCCTACTTAAATTACCTCCATATTCTACTCTCTGATGGCTCTCCTCAAACCGGGGCGTTAGGTTGGAGATATTTCACCTCAAGTCCCCCTCCCTCTCACCCCACCCTAATTCTCCCCATTCTCTTTCTGGGACCTGTAACCGACAGTGAGCCCCACACTGGGCTCTCCTGCTTCCACTCAGATTCCAGCCCTGAGTCCGGTCCTTCCCCTAGATGAGCTTCCCGCCAAGTACCCCTCCCCCAGTTCAGCCCCCGGCCGCCCCACTCCCCTTCAGGGATAGGAAGGAGGGTACCACAGCTTGCCCCTCAGACTCAGCGCCCAGAACCCCCCAGTACCTGTCCCTCGACATTCCCGCCCCCGCCTTCGCTCCCCGCACCGTCCGGCCCCCACCTCAGAAACAGTCTCTCGAGAAGACCCTCGCCGCTGATCTCAGAACCTCGCATGGTTCCCTCCGTCTTCCTTCCCCCTCCCACCGCAGGCCCTACTCCGGACCGGAAGCCGCGGAGTTTCCGGCTACAGGCACCTAGGTGCGGCCATATTGTCGTACGGAATCCAGTCCCCCCCCCCCCCCCCCCCCCCCCCCCCGCCCCCGGTGGCCGGGGGGGCCCCCCCCCCCGCCCCGCGAGGGCTTCTAAGGCCGCCCACATAGTCTGCGGCTCCCTTCCCCCTGACCTGCAGGGGGCGGAATTGTCCCATCCGGGCGTCCCAAATGCCTGGAGGACGCCATTTTGCTGTACGGCGCTGGCTACGCCCGGATTGGGGCGCGCCGCCAGTGGAGCTCTTTTCACCCGGTGCTTCTGCCACTCCGCCAATCAGAAACTTCCCGCATCCTGGCCCAACTGCCAGCGAGTCGCGTGCCGGGAGGACTGAGCCACCTGTCCAAGCAGGGGAGGGGGGAACGGAACAGGGCAGCTGAGGAATTGGCCCTCCAAGGCTGCACAAGGGTGCATGGAAGGGCGGGAATCTCTTAAGAGGGAAATAAAACTTTTTGCATCCACTGGGCTATTGACAAGACTTCTGGCGCTGCTTTCCTACCTGCCAGGTACCAGTTTCCACGGCTTAATCGAATGCGCCTGTCATTCCTTTCTATGGGCTGTGCGCTCCCTTGTCGCTGTCCAGAAGCTATTTCTACATCCAGTTGCCTACATCTCCCAATCTTGAAGTCATAACACATGCATACAAATGAGCACAACACGCTGTACAAATGTGTTATTATTACTGCTATTGTTGTTGGTTTGCTTTTCAAGCTCCACCACAGAACTAATGACCAACCAAGTAGGTGGGACCTGGGTGGTTCTCCTTCCTTTTCTGGAGGGGATCCCCGAGGCGCAGGCGCTGATGACCAGGAGGCCGCGCTTTGTCCAGGGGCTCCAGGGCCTGAGGACGGGCGATGTGGGGAGGGGGTTCTGAGAAGAATCTGTGCCAATTGCCGCTGTGAAGGCTGTGAGACGAAATGAGGCTCGTAAAATACCTCGAGTCTCTCTCGTCCTCTTCCTCTGAGAGAGCTGATGAAAGAAGGAAGAGAGAAGAAACCGACTTTGACGCCCGCCTCGCCCCCACCCACCCCACCCCCTAACCCAGCTTTAGGGAAGCTGGAGGGACTCGTGGAGGCAGAGCTGGGTCCAAAGGTGAGCTTCTGGGGAAACCGGAAATGTTAATACGGTTCCAACTGCTGAGTTTCCCACCTCCTGCATCCTTGCGAATTCCACAGATGGTGAGCATCTTGCCACTTTCTGGGACCACAGACCCTTACATCCCCAAGCCCTCAGAGTCCCAGAACCTCAAACTCTCCCTTCCATTAAAGAATCCCACACCACTTCTCTCCAGTCATCTAAGCCTATAGTCTTCAAATTGGGGGACATGAAGACTTGCCCAAGGGTACTCGGATTTGGGAGATATAAGGGACTTAATTTCCAGATTCTCAATTTTCCCAAAATTTGTTTTCCTCAGTAAATTCCTGCAGTAGAGCTTCTCCTTCTTCCTTTTCTCTTTTACAATAGACTTTCTCCCTCTTAAAAAAAAAAAAAAAAGGATACTGTAGTTCTCAATCATGAAATCTCCTCGGGATAATGTTACAATGTTTTTTGTTTGTTTGCTTTTTGGTTTTGTTTGTGTTTGTTTTTGTTTTGACCACTGGACTGCCAGGGAATTCCCTTACCTTGTCTTAAATAAAGAGACATGTAACCTGTTTCTTCAAGGCACCATGAGCACCACCTTGTCTATCTCATTTAAAATGTACTTTTAGGTAGTTCCCTGGCAGTCCAGTGGTTAGGACTCTGTGTTGCCAAGCAGGGTGCCGGGGTTTGATCCCTGGTCAGGGAACTAAGATCCTGCAAGCTGAAACAGAAAAAAAATGTACCTTTAATATTAACAATTATGAAAATGTGTACAATCTTTATGCTATTTAATCAGTTCTGCTCACATAATAATTGTAATGATAACCCAGAAGAAATTTTTCTAAAAAACTAGAGTCTTATGGTCACAAGAAAGAAAAATATTTTTCATCTCAATTAATATATATGTTTATGTAGGAAAGAGTGACAGATTGGTCAATAAAAGACTTTCAAGTATAAAAGCATAAAATTGTCTGTGGAGAAGTAGAATGGTAATAGAAGTTCTAGGAGAAAAGAGAATGATGGAAGAAGAAAAGGAAGGATTCCCAATTATATTTTTAAACGAGTGGTGGTGAATATCAAGTCACTCTGATATTTCAACTCCCCTGGACACACAAAAGATTGATTTGTTTTATTTTAAAATGTGAATTTTTTTGTATGCCAGGAATTACATCCTTGAAACAATGTTAATGTATGATGAAAAGTTTTAGGTGCTTACTTAAAAATACTTGAGGAGTATAAACTTTTTCAAAATTAATTCCCGGAGTATAGGTGCAGAAATTTTAAGATAGCTGCTCTCAGCTCTCCAAGTGTCCCTCCAAAGCCCCCATTTCCCCCTTTCTCCCCTCTCACCTCTGTGGCAGGGAAAGAGGACGTTTATAGGAAAGGCGGTCACAGTTCCAGCTCCTCCTCCATCTGAGGTGTTCTCAGGAGCCAGTCCCCAAACTTTGCCCATGGTAACAGCCACAGCAGCTTATAAACAGCCTCCAGCGTCAGTAGTGTCAGGATGAGGACCAGGAAGATAAAGAAGGCCTTGTCCATGGCCTGCCGCAGGGGACCCCTGGGAGGAGAGGGCCTCCGGGCAAACGCCAGGAACACGTCCTCCTCGTCCATGTCACCCTCCTCCTCAGCCCTCTTAACCCGCTGTGTGACAGCTGGCTGGAGCTCGGAGGCTGGGATGGAAGCCCTTACTCAGCCTGGCCAGGATTAAGGGGCGTGGTGTTGGCAAGTCCTGCACCTGCCGAGTTTGACCCTAATTCCCCCAACCAAGAGAAAGAAAGGAGAGGAGGGCCTCTGAGCCTTTGGAACAGTCAGTGCAATGTGAATGGTCTGGATTAAACAATTCCTAAAGTCTGTCCAGCTTTACCGTTTTATAATTCTGTGTTTCGGAAGCTGAAGGCCCAACAGAGACATGCCAGCTGGAGCTGACCAAGTCATTCTGGGCCTCTAAGCTTAAGGCTCAAGGTCTTGGGCCCCTACAGACAGAGTGGGCAAGTGGACCTAGTATGCTAGTCAAGCACCTAAGGCCCTTTTCAGCTTTACATTGGGTGGTTGGGGGGGTGGGGGTGGGACACGCCTAACCTAGGTGGGGGGAGGGGGGAGAGCGAGCATTGGTGGCTACAGTCCGCGCAGGCTCGTAGTTCTTCCCCAGGTCTGTGGGGCCCCGAAGTTGCGGCGCTGAAACCCCGCACTCTCGCTTCGTGACTTTGAAGACGATTATATCAATCATTGGACTGCAGGAGCCAGGGCGGAGGTTTATAAAAAGAGAAAGAACATGATTGGCCAGCGGTGCGAAGGAGAATGATTGGGACTTAACTATTGGGGCAATAATAAGGAAGAGCGAGCTTGTGCGTGAGGGGCGTGGTCTGAGAGTTGCTGGTGGGAAATGTCCAAGAGGCTGTATTGTGGCACGGGTTGAAGGCCTTTTCTTGACCCTGTTCCCCAGGCACTGGCCTGAAAGTTCGTGAGGGAAATCGAAGTCCATATGGAGACCGGCCCACACCCGCCCCGTAGGTGGTGGTTGGGGGGTAGAGTGTGGACAGCGGAGGAAAGGGCCCATAGTGAACCTCATATCTGGAGCCTCTATGGTCTCTTACCTAAACTCCAGTTTGATCTTAAGAAGAAGACATTGTTTTCTTGGGAAGAACTTGTTTACCCCAAAATGGTACAAAGGATGTCACAGGTTTTTTGTTGTTGTTGTTTTTAAAATATTTTTTATTTATTTTGGCTGCGCTGGGTCGTAGTTGTGGCATGCTGACTTCGTTGAGGCATATATGTGGGATCTAGTTCCCGACCAGGGATCGTACAGTGCCCCCTGCATTGGGAGCGTGGAGTCTTACCCACTGGACCACCAGGGAAGTCACAGTTTTGTTTAGAGTCAACTCGTGTTATCGTTTGCTACTGCCACAGGAGGTCATTACAAGTCAAAAAAAAACTGGATCAGGGTCCAAACTAATCATTTATTAGTTGTGTTAATTAAACAAGGAGGCCATCAGACTGAGTGGCTCTAATGTCATGGCGGCCTACTTAAGCAAGCCAAAATCTAAACCTGTAAATGCCTCAAGGTCATGTAATCAAGATGCCACGGGAGGGAATTCCCTGGCAGTCCAGTGGTTAGGACTCAGCACTTCCACTCCAGGGGGCACAGGTTCGATCCCTGTTTGGGGAACTAAGATCCTGCATGCTGGGAGGCACAGGCAACACAAAAATAAAATCAAAACATCAAAACAAAACAAAAAAACACTAAAGGACAACCAATCACACACAGCCAACTAGGCTAAGCTATAGCCAATCAAATAATTTCCTTTCTCTGTTTCCACACTTTCTCCATTTAAGTTTTTCCTCTGGCTGAGGTCTGAGGAGCGCTCATAACCACTTCTGGTTTGGCGCGGCCCCATTTGAATGCATTTTTTTGCTCAAACTTAAAATTTTAACATGCCTCAGTTTACCTTTAACAGTTGTATGATGGAGACCTTGGGCCAGTCAGCTGACCTTTCTTTAGTTTTTTTATAAAATTGAAAAAGTCTTGCCTCACAAAGTTGTCAGGAGGGACAAACGAAATAAGATTTTTTTTTTTTGTAAATTATGAAGTGCTGTGTAAACATAATGTATTAATTTCTGATACCCTCACTATGTCTCAGGCAAGTTTGCAATAAGGCCACCCAAACACCTTTATCATCTCCTTATAGTTCCTTCCCCATGGTAGGTTCAGCACTAAGATCTTGTGTAATACATAAACTCAGCACTTTATTGAATTTAAAAAAATTTTTGAAGTAATTTCAAACTTACAGAAAACGCTTAAGAACAGTATCGGGAACTCTGGTATCCTTTTCACCCTGATTCCCCATTTGTCAACATTTGGTTATATTTGCTTATTTCTCTCAACCCCAATATAACCATCTATTATGGGTTGAATTGTGTCCCTTCAAAATTCAGATAGTGAAGCCCTAACTCCCAGTACCTCAGAATATGACCTTATTTGGAAATAGGGTTGTTGCAGATGTAATTGGTTAAAATAAAATGAGGTCATACTGCAGTAGGGTGGACCCTTAATCCAATATGACTGATGTCCTTATAAAAAGGGGAAATTTGGACACAGACATGTCCAGACCAGAACATCACGTCCAGACCAGCATACATCAAGACCAGAATGTCATGTGAATGTGAAGGCAGAGATAGGGTTGATGTGTCTACAAGCCAAGGAACGCCAAAGATTGCCAGCAAACCACCAGAATCTAGGGGAGAGGCATGGAAGAGACTTCTGTCACAGCCCCTCAGAGAGAACCAACCCTGCTGACTCTTTGATTTCTGGCTTCTAGCTTTCAGAACTGTAAGAAAATAAATTTCTACTGTTTAAGCCACCCCGTTTGTGGTACTTTGTTATGGCAGCCCTAGCAAACAAATACACCACCCTAATCAGGAAGTCAACACCACTGTCTAATTATAGGTACAATTCAGATTTCATCAGCTGTCCCACTAATGCCTCTGTCCTTTTTGGTCCAGGATTGCAAATCGCATTTGGTAGTCACATATCTGCAGACTCCTTCAATGTGGGCAGTTCTTCTGTCTTTCTCTTTCATGAATTAGTTTTAAAGAGTACAGGCTTTTCATTTCTGTACAATCTCTCCAACCTAAGTACATGTTGGGGCAAGAGAGAAATGATGCGGCCTTTGTGTATCACATCAGGAGTTGCTGGAGGCAAAACCATCTCACTCCTGATGCTGCCAAACCAGTCTGGCAGGTTCTCCACCTTAAAGTCCTAACTGTCCCTTTGTAATTCCTAAGTATCTGGCACATCACCAAATCTCCACCTACCTGCCTTAGCATCCCTTTATGACTCTCATCGGAATAAGCATGATGATGTTTATTTTTATTTTTAAAAGTTATTTATTTTTGGCTGCGTTGGGTCTTCGATGCTGTGCGCAGGCTTTCTCTAGTTGCGGTGAGCGGGGGCTACTCTTCGTTGTGGCTTCTCATTGTTGTGGCTTCTCTTGTTGTGGGGCACGGGCTCTAGACGTGCAGGCTTCAGTAGTTGTGGCACGTGGGCTCAGTAGCTGTGGCTTGTGGGCTCTAGAGCTCAGGCTCAGTAGTTGTGGTGCACGGGCTTAGTTGCTCCGCGGCATGTGGGATCTTCCCGGGCCAGGGCTCGAACCCGTGTCCCTTGCATTGCCAGGCAGATTCTTAACTACTGCGCCACCAGGGAAGCCCGATGATGTTTATTAAATGGTGATTTTTTTTTTTTTACTCCGTCATTTCTTCTTCAGTTTTCAGTCAACAATCGACTATAAAAGAACATTTCTTTCTCCCTCATTTATTCATTTATTTATTTATATCATATGGACTCATGGATTCCAATTTTACTCAATAACTTGTAATCCATTACTACCATATTTACTTATATTGCCTGGACCCATGCATTTCTATTTTATTTAATTAATTGTAGTTAGTTACTATCATCATTAATTTCATGCACAAATTATCCCAAATTTGGGCAGCGCCAGACTCTGGGATCCGTGCCACCTGGCGCCCACCATTCCCACGGGAGAAGATGGGAAGCCCATGGGCTTGGTGGTGCAAGTGGAGTTCATAGGCTGCAGCCGCAGCCGCAGCATCGGAGCTGGAGGCTGCCACAGCCCCAAGGGCCCCCAGCTGGTGGGGGGGGGGGAGGGCTGTGAGGGCTTCTCTGATACTGGCTCGAACAACTCTACTTGTCGTCAGGCACCACGGAGGAGGAGCTCCTGCAAGCTGGACGAGCAGCTGGACATCCTGGCGCTGATGGTGGTGAAGATGAAGGAGATGAAGGGCAGCATCCTCACCTGTGTCTCACTGAGGCCAAGCTCCGTGAAGAACTCCTCGAGAGGGATCGGCTGCTGGCTATGGCTGTCATCCGCAAAAAGCACAGGATGTGAACAAGTCCCATTTCGGCCTTCGGAACTCCCAGACACCTAGCAGCTTAGTGGGGACCTTAGGCCGCCGCTGTTGAACTCTCTCATACTCCTGGGGCACTGGTTGAGAGTACTGAGGCTTAGGGCAGTTGGGCTCTTGCTGGTGACCTGGCACCCTCTCTTGTTTCCTCCTGAAGCAAGCTCCTGAAGTCTGGGATCTCAGACTCTGCACCGGTGACACCAGCAATTATGACTTTGTCTACCCCTCCCCACCTTCACCCCCACCCCCAAATTTACGTTGCAGGTTCTGGTGAAGCAGAGGCTTCAGAACCATTGAACTTGAAACTTATCCCCTACGGATGCAGGCAGGATGCCCAAGGACTATGGGTTTGGGAAGACGACACCTTGAGTTTGGCCAGTAATCAGAACTATTCCACGTGTAGTGATAAGAGATCCAAGTAACATCAGTTCTACTTTTTGTGCTTTTCCTTCCCACGTGCAGCCTGTGCTTCTGATAGGGACTGGCAGATCTGTGCCTCTCCCTCCTAGGACCTCCCTCCCAGGAGGCCATCTACAAGGCAATCTATGGGATCTCGTGGAGATCCAGCTTGCCAGGGACGTAAATCTATCCTGTTATGTTTGCTACAAATTCTATTTTCTGCACAATTAGTCAGATTAAAGTTTTCACTATGTTTGTTTGGCAAAATGAATTAAACAGAAAGTAAGGTTGAAAAAAATTATCCCAAATTTGGCAAATGAGAAAGTGCTCCAAGCTGGTTCCTGTGTCCTTTTGCAATGTCTACAACATTATTTGATTACTTTCTGGTACAAGAGGTAATTCAGGCTCAATTTGTACTTTTCCTGACTCAGCCCAGGAATCAACCATTTCTTCAAGAGCCTCTGGCTTCTTTTTTTCTTTTTTTAATAAATTTATTTATTTTATTTATGGCTGCGTTGGGTCTTCATTCCTGTCTGTGGGCTTTCTCTAGTTGCAGTGAGCGGGGGCTACTCTTCATTGCAGTGCGTGGGCTTCTTATTACGGTGGCTTCTCTTGTTGCGCAGCACAGGCTCTAGGCTTCAGTAGTTGTGGCTCGAGGGTTCTAGAGCGCAGACTCAGTAGTTGTGGCTCATGGGCTTAGTTGTTCCACGCATGTGGGATCTTCCCGGATCAGGGCTCAAACCAGTGTCCCCTGCATTGGCAGGCGGATTCTTAACCACTGTGCCACCAGGGAAGCCCTCTCTGGCTTCTTTTAACAAAGGGCAGTATGTGGAAACCAAGACCTGGGTGCCAGATATCTTCATTGCTACAATGATGCCATCGTTCCTAGGCCTTCTCAGCAAATAG